ACATCGTCTAGCCAATCGGCAAGATTTTGCAGGTGTTGACAATAGGCCGCCATGGTGGTGTTGCCTTTGACGGTGGTGCGGAACTCGTGTTCTAGTTGCATGGCACGAGCATTTTTGTTGTCGTGAAACAAATCGTGAATAACCTTCCAGAGAGCAGAAGCGGTGGAGACAGAGGAGATAACCAGATCGGAGACTTCGTCAGAGATGGTGGACAGAATCCATCCCTGGAGGAGAGCATCAAGTTGGAGCCATTCATCATCGTCTTCAGAGAGAGGGACGATGGAGCCGTTGATGTAGCCCTGGAGATTGAATCGGCGGACCAGGAGGAGAAAGAGGCGACTCCACTTCTTGTAGTTCGGTTGAGAGAGGCTGAGAAGAACCGGAACATGGAGTTTGACGTTGGAGACCGTCGTGAAAGCAAGATGAGGAGGCTTGGCCGGGGTGACGTTGGTGTTGGAGGTGATCTCGCTGTCGGCCATTGGGGAGAGGAGAGCCGGCGACGAGAGGAGGAGAGGAGGAGAGAAGTTGCTGCCGGCGACGAGAGGGAGAGGCGGCGCTGCTGCCGCTGGAACTGCCGAGAGGGAGAGCCGAGAGGTAGGGTTAGGGTTTGTGATTTTGTTTTTTTTGTTTAATTAGGCTCTGATACCATGAAGAATAATGATTTTCATTGATTGAATATGATGTGGTTACATGTATATATATAAGAGGAATCTCAATCCTAAACATGGTAGGAGAGACACAAGGAAGGAAACCTATACAAATAAGGTAAGGGAATAATACAATATATTAAATATATACAATATATTTAACATTAGGTTTTCAGAATTAGATGTTGGAAAAAACTGAAAGAAATTGAAAGAAACGGGGAGTTGAAAATATTTGCAAATTTAAAGTGTTAAAAAGATACTCAATTAAATGATCACCAAATAAATATATGAGAAAACGCTAATTTTAGAATATAAAAAATTCTTCCGTGTCCGTATTTGAAGTGGTATGTTATAATTTTGGACGAGTGCTTCTATGGTGCGCACTTTGGGTACATACCATTTTTGTAAACTTTCTCACATGATTTTTTTTTTTAAAATAGATGATTATTTAAAAAGTAAAAAAATGTTTATTTTAATTTGCTTATATATAGGTCTATATGGTGGACATTAAATCCACAATACAATTTGTCTTTTTGGATACTAAAAAGTTGAAGAAACAAGAAGCAATTGAAAAGAGTTAGAAATAATTTTTTGATACGGGCCTAGAACATGCAACCCATAACGAAGACGAAGAACCCGAAGAACCCGAGTCCCCAAGGGTGAGACGTTCACGAAGGATCGTTGGGCCACCCCAGCGATACAAGGATTACGTGTGCCCTTAATAATAATATTCTCTATTTATTTATTTATTTATTTATTTTATTGTACCGTAGATTTTCTTAGGTGAGCGGAATTATAAGCTCCTTCAAGGGTTTTCTTTTCGGTTCTTTCCCTTGACGCTTTTCTTGAACCGACAGGATTAGGATTAGGGTTTCATACTACTATATATTGTCGCATGTCTAAACTAAAAGGAGGAATGAAAAAAAAACCTAATTAGTTAGTTAATCTTTCTCTTAGTTGTTTCTTCCTTCCGTCAAGCAACCCCAACCGTGTCCGCCACGGTAATTCCCGTCCGTCACCCTCTTCCCCCTTAACAACTGGTGCTCTCATTCCGATCTCATTCCCGTCATCATGGCCACCCCTTCCTCCGACAACCCACAGCCCGGGCCTGCCCTCACGATGGAGGATGTCATGCGCGCCATCAACAATTTGGGGAAGGAATTGGAAACTACGAAATCCTATCTCGCCAAGGAATTGGACGTGACAAAAAGCCATGTCGCGGAACTTCTGGCCGCAGGTAATCCGCCACCCCACGACGACTTACGGCGTCCTCCGCCGTACCGGCCACCGTCAGCTGCATGGCGACCACCAGCTTCACGCACATCTCAGTTTCCCGCCGCTACAGATCCCATCCCACGCATGCGCATCGATGCCCCTCGGTTTTCGAGTGAGGATCCCGTTGGGTGGATTTTTCGCATCCAAAAGTACTTTGATTACTTTCTTACTCCCGAGGCTGAGCGTCTTCACTTGGTGGCTGTGCTAATCGATCATCCGGCATCGGAATGGTTCCGTTATTATCAAGCCAACAATTGCAATGTCTCCTGGATGGCGTTTTTGGTTGCGGTACGGCAACGGTTCGACCCCGACTATTATGAGAACTACATCGGGTTGCTCTCCAAGTTACACCAGACCACAACGGTTATGGACTATCAATCGTCGTTTGAGGCTCTATTGAACAAAGTCGCCAGCGTGCCCGAACCAACACTGATTGCTATGTACATCGCGGGTCTCAAGCAGCCCGTTCAACGTGAAGTTAACCTTCGTGCCCCCGGCACGTTACAGGAAACTTTCGCCCTGGCTCGCGAGTACGCCGCAAGCCGACAGGATGCCCAGGCTGCTTTCGGATCCTCTGCCAGACGCCAGTGGGGATCTCCTCGGCCTAACCCCAGCACATCTGGGCAGCCTTCAGGTATCTCCACACCAGCTCACACAAACCCGCCCAAACCACCAGACACCCGTGCTGTCAATTCCTTACCCGTCGTACGGTTAACCAACGCTGAAAAGGCCGAACGAGGGAAGAAAGGTCTGTGTTGGTTCTGCGAGGAAAAATTGGATCCCACTCATCACTGCAAACGTCGTTTTCTCGCTCTTATGGGGCCGGATGATGAGGACATGGCGGCCGGTGAGGAACCCAACGAGCACCCTATCACGGAGGATTTGATTATTACAGGTGATATCTCAAGTTTGCACTCTTTGGCAGGGAGTCCTAGCCCATGTTCCCTCCGCCTCACCGGTAACATTAAAAACTCCCCGGTGCATGTTTTGTTGGACGGTGGTAGCACCCATAATTTCATTCACCCCACCGTTGCAGAGAGGCTCTCACTAGTGCTATACCCCGTGACGCCCTTTCGAGTCTACGTCGGGAACGGGGAGTCGCTTCGCTGCTCATATTCTTGCCCCCAAACCGCCGTCGCATTGCAGGGCCACATATTTGCAATCGACCTCTATCTGCTGGAGATCCATGGGCCGGAAGTGGTGCTAGGCGTACAATGGCTCCAAACTCTCGGCAAGGTTTCTCATGACTACGCTAACCTCACCATGGAATTCACTTGGAATGGGGTGACAGTACAACTCAGGGGTGATGCCCCAGGCCCCAAGCCGATCTCCTACGGGCATTTATGTACTTTGGTGGCGACTAAGCAGCCGCTAGAATTCTACGAGCTAGTGCCAGCACCTACGGACACCCTCCCAGCCTCGGCAGCCCCAGCGTTCCCTTCGGACGTACCGACCTCTATCACAACAATTTTGCAGTCCCATGCCGCTGTTTTTGCCACTCCCACGGCCTTACCTCCGGCACGAGAGTGGGACCATCACATTCACTTGGAGCCTAATACCAAACCCATCAACGTCCGGCCGTATCGTTACCCGTACTTCCAAAAGTCAGAGATCGAACGGCAAGTCCAAGAAATGCTTCACCAGGGCATCATCCGTCCTAGCCAGAGCCCGTTCTCCTCTCCGGTTCTATTGGTGCGAAAGAAAGATGGAACTTTCCGTTTTTGTGTCGACTACAGGGCATTGAACGCGGCTATGACACCCGACCACTTTCCCATACCCACTGTCGATGAATTATTTGACGAATTGGGTACTGCCAGGATTTTTACTAAACTGGACTTGCGCGCCGGATACCACCAAATTCGGATGCACGCCGCCGACACCTTCAAGACTGCTTTCCGTACCCATGACGGACATTACGAGTTCTTAGTAATGCCCTTCGGCCTTACAAATGCCCCATCTACCTTTCAGGCTACTATTAACCAGGTGTTTCGCAGCTACCTTCGGAAGTTTATTATTGTCTTTTTTGACGATATCCTCATTTATAGCCCGGATTTGGAAACACACGCCGATCATCTCAATACGGCACTAGGGGTGCTCCGCCATAATTCTTTCTTTGTGAAGTTATCCAAGTGCTCGTTCTGCCGCACCACCATCGATTATTTGGGACATTTGGTGACTGCGGGGTTCCTCAAAGCCAACCCAAGGAAAATTTCGGCTATGGTCCAATGGCCGCAACCCAAAACTGTCACCCAGTTACGGGGATTCTTGGGACTCACGGGGTATTATCGGCGCTTCATCTCCGGCTATGCTTCAATGGCCCGCCCTCTGACAAAGTTATTAAAAAAGGACAGCTTTCACTGGACCCCCCAAGCGGAGGAAAGTTTTCATCGCCTGAAAGCAGCAATGGTATCGGCACCCGTCCTTCGGCTTCCAGATTTTTCACGAACATTCTACATAGAAACTGACGCATCCGACTCGGGAATCGGCGCGGTGCTACTACAAGAAGGTCACCCCTTGGCCTTCTTTAGCAAAAAGTTGGGTCCACGCCGCCAAGCCGCCTCGACATATCACAAAGAGTTATACGCCATTGTGGAATCGGTACAAAAATGGCGTCAATATTTATTGGGCCGAGAATTCGTTATCCGAACCGACCACCGGAGCATCAAAGATCTATTGTTACAAGTCATCCAAACACTGGACCAACAGTTCTATGTCCGCAAACTCATGGGTTTCAAATTCCGGATAGAATATAAAGCGGGCGTTACCAATAAGGCCGCCGATGCCCTGTCTAGACGCGACTCCGACGACAACACGGCAGCTTCCTTTGTGGCACTATCACAACCCATGCCGGTTATTATGGAAGCAATCCGGGCAGAGCAGCGCACCAATCCAGAGCTGGTCGCACTTAAAACCGCCGCCGAAGCAGGAACGGCCACTCCCGAGTTGACAGTACAAGACGGGGTGCTCTATTATAACCGGCGGATTTACCTTAGTGCGGGATCTAACTTAAGGTAGCAGCTCCTGGAAGAATTTCATAGCTCCCCATTAGCAGGCCACCAGGGAATTGAGCGGACATTCCGCCGGCTTGCATCGGTTTTCTACTGGCCGGGCATGCGCAAGGACGTACGGGCTTTCATCGCGGCATGTGTCCCGTGCCAGGCAACAAAATATTCAACTCAAAAACCAGCGGGTCTTCTGCAACCCTTGCCCGTGCCCGATCGCGTGTGGGATTCGGCCTCCATGGATTTCATCACCGGACTTCCTCCGTCGCGCGGTTATACAGTTATCCTCGTGGTGGTGGATCGTTTGTCCAAATACAGCCACTTTGGGCCCCACCTACGGGGTTTGATGCTCCGCGGGTGGCAGCCTTGTTCCTAGACATGGTTGTCAAGCATCATGGGTTTCCCCTAGATATAGTCTCTGATCGGGACTCCGTCTTTATGAGTCTTTTTTGGAAAGAGCTTCTTAAGTTGAGCGGCACAACGTTGAAATTCAGCACATCCTACCACCCACAAACCGACGGTCAGACAGAGGTGACAAACAGAGGGCTTGAACAATACTTACGAGCATTCACTTTCGACCGACCGACAAAGTGGGCAGCCCTCCTCCCGTGGGCTGAACTAGCTCTCAATTGTAGCCGACATGAGGGCCTCAAAGTTTCTCCCTTTCAAGCTCTCTACGGACGTGAACCACCACACGTGTTCGCTACCCCCTCCGTCCGCTCCAAAGTGCCAGCTATTGAGGAAATTCTTCTTGAAAGAGCAGCTGTTTTGGAGGAATTGAAGGCCAACCTTTGGAGAGTGCAGCAGCGTATGCGAGCTTCTGCCAATATGCATCGTCGGGACGTATCCTTTCAGGTAGGTGAATTGGTCCTCCTCAAGCTCCAACCATATCGTCAACACTCCGTCGCCAAACCCAAGTCTGCAAAGCTCGCCCGGCGATATTACGGCCCTTTCGAAGTTGTGGAGCGTGTGGGACAGGTAGCTTATCGCCTGCGCCTGCCCGATGGGTGTCGCATCCATGATGTTTTTCATGTCTCTCTCCTACGGCCGTTCGTGACTCCGGCCACCGGCGTACCCACCCCAACATGGCCAGAAGAGTTTGTCCAGAATCACCCCCTCTCAGTTCCCGTGGCAGCCCTACGCAGTCGCACCATACTCGTCGACGGCGATCCTCAAGAGCAATGGTTAATCCGCTGGTCCGACGGCACCGCGGATGATTCCACGTGGGAACCAGTGCATATGCTCCGCGAACATTTTCCAACTCTCCGCCTTGAGGACAAGGCGAATTCCGACAGCGGGGGAGTTGATACGGGCCTAGAACATGCAACCCATAACGAAGACGAAGAACCCGAAGAACCCGAGTCCCCAAGGGTGAGATGTTCACGAAGGATCGTTGGGCCACCCCAACGATACAAGGATTACATGTGCCCTTAATAATAATATTCTCTATTTATTTATTTATTTATTTTATTGTACCGTAGATTTTCTTAGGTGAGCGGAATTATAAGCTCCTTCAAGGGTTTTCTTTTCGGTTCTTTCCCTTGACGCTTTTCTTGAACCGACAGGATTAGGATTAGGGTTTCATACTACTATATATTGTCGCATGTCTAAACTAAAAGGAGGAATGGAAAAAAAACCTAATTAGTTAGTTAATCTTTCTCTTAGTTGTTTCTTCCTTCCGTCAAGCAACCCCAACCGTGTCCGCCACGGTAATTCCCGTCCGTCACCCTCTTCCCCCTTATCATTTTTCTAACTCAAAACAAATAAATTTTTACGGATCATATTCTAACAAAGTCAAATCTTATACATGGCCAATATAATGCAGCGGTCAATTTTGGCATGATGACAAAAAATAATAATAAGGTAAGGTCCATAATCCTTATCATGTCATCATACGTAAGTAGGTTTCCGTCTTGTTCTGTTTATTTTTTGTATTTTAAATTTGTTATTATTTCCCATTTCAAATTATTTGTGCTATAAATATAACAGCATGCACAGCTCAGAATGATAACACAATAAATCCTTAGAGCAGTGGTAATACATATCACGCCGAGCGGCGTTATGCCCCTTTTGAGTTTTGACGCCCAGGGGGCGTTAAACACCGTCCCCTGGGGCTTCATCCCGGCGTAATTGCATCAGCGTCATACATTTGACGCAACCTCCCCCTCCTATAACGGCTAATTTAGCCGTTGGAAGCAAAAAAAATGTGATTTTTTACCTTAGTGTTTTTTAGTAATGTATTTTTACCTTATTTTTTTTTACCTTAGTTTCTTTTATTAATGGAAGACAAAAAGAGATTAAGGCCAAATATATTTTACCTTAGTTTTTTTATTAATATATTTTTTATTATTGTCGCTTTCTTTTTTTAATTTAATCAATGTATTTTTTGAAATTATTTTCGCTTCAATTTATTTTAATTTAATGAATGTATTTTTTTAATTATTCTTGTTTCAATATAATTATATAATAAAATAATTAAATTTTATTAATTTAGTTTTAGAAGATGTATATTTAAAAATGTAAAAAATGAAGGTTTGAAGCCCTGGGGCTTCAAACCCATTTCCACTGAATTTGTGAGGTAAGTTAAAGCTTACGTGGCAGTGAGAGAAATTTTGAAGCCCCGGGGCTTCACGGGTATTTCCAGTGCTCTTATTAATTAGTACTTTCAATCTATTATTCCTATTAAATTTGTTACCGAGTACTCCGTATATTATATACCCCATCCAAAAAATATGTAATCTCCGTCTCAGAGTATTTCTCCATTTTTGACTTTTTTTAGTTAATCATTTTCAATCTTTGACTATAACTAAATAAAATATATATTATATATTAATTAGGTAAAATAATATTTTGAAAAAATATTTTATATAATAAATCTAATAAGAATTGCAATTTTTGTAGTTTTATTGAACCAATCTTCTATTATTATTTTTAAATATTGTTTAAAATTAGTCTATTTTTACGAAGTTAACTAGTCATTGATCTTCAATTATTTGGGAGAAATTTTAAACGAAGCCGGCATAGTGTAACGTAACGGACGAATTCTGAGAGGTCCGAATTCTGAGGTGTCCGAACCCCATTCTATTTGGGCTTGTTTAATTATCTGTTAATTCTGTATTTTTGGGCCTAAGTCTGTTAGGGTTTCGCCAAGCACTATTTATATGTGTGCTACCACAAACCCTAGTTGTTGTACTCTGTTCTTGCCTCTCCAATCAGAAATAAAACTGCTCCCCCTCTTCTCCGTGGACTAGCCAACACAACGTTGGTGAACCACGTTAAATCTGTTGTCGTGCTTTCTCGTTTATATATCTTCTCTTATTCTCGAATTCTGCACAACAAACTGAATTCTGAGGTGTCCGAACCCCATTCTATTTGGGCTTGTTTAATTATCTGTTAATTCTGTATTTTTCGGCCTAAGTCTGTTAGGGTTTTGCCAAGCACTATTTATATGGGTGCTACCACAAACCCTAGTTGTTGTACTCTGTTCTTGCCTCTCCAATTAGAAATAAAACTGCTCCCCCTCTTCCCCGTGGACTAGCCAACACAACGTTGGTGAACCACGTTAAATCTGTTGTCGTGCTTTCTCGTTTATATATCTTCTCTTATTCTCGAATTCTGCACAACAAACTGGTATCAGAGCCAGGTTGGTTAATCTGTGTTCTTGGAGAATTTCGAGATGTCTGCTTTGAACGTGAAAATTGACAAATTCACAGAGAGGAACAGTTTCAGTTTATGGCAAATCAAGATGCGCGCTTTGTTGAAACAACAAGGTTTCTGGGCGCCGTTGTCGAAAGACAAAAACGCCGTCGCTACTCCTGAGATGGCGGCTCTGGAAGAGAAGGCGCACTCGACGATCATGCTGTGTCTGTTAGATGACGTTATCACGGAGGTCTCAGACGAGGAGACTGCTGCTGGCTTGTGGTTGAAGTTGGAGAGTCTGTACATGACGAAATCTTTAACCAACAAGCTACTTCTGAAACAACGTCTATTCGGTTTACGAATGGCTGAAGGTACACCACTTAGGGAACATTTAGAGCAATTAAATACTTTGTTATTAGAATTGCGTAATATCGATGTGAAGATAGAGGATGAAGATGCTGCCCTGATTCTGTTGGTATCTCTCCCAATATCGTTTGAAAATTTTGTTCAATCGTTCATTGTTGGGAAAGATACTGTATCTCTGGAAGAAGTTAGATCGGCCCTTCATAGCAGGGAATTGCGACATAAGGCTAACGGCACGAGTACAGATGTACAACCTTCCGGCCTATTCACCAGTGCCGGAAAGGGAAAGAAAAACGGTGGGAAGAAGAAGAAGAGGAAGCCGTCGTCAAAGGGTGCAAAGCCGGATGATGTCTGTAATTACTGCAAGGAGAAGGGGCACTGGAAGTTTGATTGTCCGAAGAAGAAGAAGCAATCCGAAAAACAACCAATTTCTGCTGCTGTTGCTGAAGAAGATACCAATTCTGAAGAAGACATTGCCATAGTTGCTGATGAAAACACTCATCACTCAGATGTGTGGGTTCTAGACTCTGGGGCATCCTATCATATCTGTCCAAGGAGAGAGTGGTTCACGACCTATGAGCAGGTAGACGGAGGGAGCATCTCGATGGCCAACAGTTCTGTCTGCAAGGTGGTTGGGACAGGCTCGATCAAGATAAGGACACATGATGGTAGCTTCTGTACATTGAACGAGGTCAGACATGTGCCATTGATGACAAAGAATCTGATATCCCTCAGTCTTTTGGACAGCAAGGGGTTCAGTTGGTCAGGAAAGGATGGAGTTCTGCGCGTCTGGAAGGGTTCAAATCTGATTCTGAAAGGTGTCATGCGGGGTACTTTGTATTTTCTACAAGGTTCCACGGTTACAGGTTCAGTTCATGTTGCATCATCAGAAGTTAAACAGGAAGATATGACCAAGTTGTGGCATATGAGACTTGGTCATATGGGTGAAAAAGGGATGCAAATTCTGTCAAAGGAGGATCTTCTTGCCGG